CACTTCTAGCCTATTTGTTTGCTCTTTCCCCCCCCTTTCTCATATTCTTTTCATTATTTAACCAGATCATTCTATCCAGAATACACCCTCAATAGCATAAGCCAGTGAATCAAACTCCTTGAACTTCTGGGTTCATTGATGCAGTAATTCTACAATGGACTAAAGCCATCTGCTCTCTCTAGTTTTGTTAGGGCAGTTATGATTGGAGATTTTTTTTTAACAGAGAAACCCAGGATAGTTCTCTGTACCAGCTCTCCGAAAAACTCAGGGGCCAAGTTAATTCCTGGCCCAGCTCCGGGTCACAGGCTGCTGTCTGAGGAGCTGTACATTCGAGAGTCCAAAATAACTTTCTCTGAACAGCAATGCGTTACTGACATTACTGACACCAGGCTGAATTTTGCCACACCTGCCTCCACAGACTGAGAGCTCAAATAAAGAGCACTGAATGCCAGGGGAAATCACCTGCTTGTTTCATGTGCAACTGGACCTGACTATGACTACTGACTATCAGTGCAGATTTCCTGATTATCAGTGTTAACCAGGCTTGCAGACGTGCGACTCTTTGTAACTGGGGGCTTGCAGTGAAACCTTCCAGCAGTGTTCAAGTGAAGCAGGAGGACCACAGGCACTACAAGAAATCTTATAATTCTTCTTATACCTCCCTGAAGATCACTCTCTTTATAAGTATGTTTCACTTACTCATTATAAACAAGAAAAGCTAACCCACTCCAGCTGATTATGTAAAAAATATATTTGTCACTTGTTTCCCTCCAACATTTGGAGCATTCTCCAGAATCCTCATTTGCTATGATTTGCAGGAAAATCCAGCTTGTCAGGCTTTCTAAAAGGAATATGAACAATGTCTTTCACTTGGGTGTTACTGTTTTTCAGAAGGGCTGATCTGTAAAAGAGTATCTACCTTTAAATTTATGACCTCTATATGTTTGAGAAACGGAGCCATGTAAACACATCCGTTTCCTGGGGAGGCTGTGCTGCTGTCTGAGCACAGACACCCAAGCAAGCCAAGGAGACAGATTCCAGTTTTGCACTGTCTTGCAGGTTGGCAGAGCAGGCAGGACCACATCAAAATCGCAGACCGTTGCAGATCTTCATCATCTCTCCTTTACTCACCTCACTGCTGATATTTCCTTGGCACAAAAGAAGTCATAAAGTTCTTATTATTCCTTTATCCTTCCACACATTCAAGTCTCTGGGAAGAGACCAAAACCTGCTCATATCTGATATTGTCAGACCCAAGGAACTGGTTTCAGACATTCCTGTTCAGGGGTCTGGAACATCTGCCCCCACTCTGAAATTGTGCCTTTCCTCTCCCACTCCCAGCCTTGCTGGGATGCTCATGCCCTTCTGATGACAGGCAATTCATCAATTCATCAATTCATCAATTGTCTTCTTCAGCTTCAGCCACACAGGGCAGAACATGGGGAAGCTTCAGGAACACCTCTTGTATTTGGATGACTCTGCAGAGTTCGGGAACACCCCACCCAGACCTTTCTCATTACACATATTACCATCCACCTTGCATCCTTTCCCCTGAGCACCTAGAGAATTACCCTGGAGCTCTTCTTCCCTGACTTGTTCATAGATTGCCAATCTAGTTTTTATTGGCTTTTTCTGAGAGGGAATCTGAAGAAGATGATTCTATAAACAACCACCATGGATTTGTTATCTTAGGGTACAAAAAAGATTCCCTGGTACAACCATAAAGAAGTTCATGGGAGCTATTAGCCTTCAAAGGCACCAGCCTTCACTAAGGTGGCCACCCAGTGTCACATTGCATTTGGGGTTTGCTTTGCCCTCTGGCCATTTAGCTGCCCAGACAGGGCCTCCCAGCCTGAAGGGGAGCTGTGATGCCCCGGCTGCCGCACCAGCGCAGGAAAGGGTAGTGTGCTCTGCCACGCCGAGGCTCCCACTAGCTAGAGGAAGGAAAAAATCTCCCATTTCCATAGCATAGGCCATGTCCCCTCTAAAATGGCTGGTAAGGCAACTGCAGTGGAGCACACACAAGGCTGCAGCACAGCACTGGAGAGAACAGTAACCTTTAAATACTCTAAAATCAAATCTTGTTTTACACAAAACTGCTGTGGTAAAGTCGACGTGAATGAAGCACCTTTGAGTGAAGGAACAGAGGGAAAGGCAGTGGACAGTTTTAGTGCCTCCTAGCAATTCTTTTTAATAAACTAGAGATGACAGACAGCCTTACCAACACATCTCTCATCTTCAAATATGACTTTCTTCAGACAGAGCTCAGTGGAACTGAGTCAGCCTTTTTTCTTGGGCCTAGCTCTTGGCATTTTTCATATTAAAACAAAGTATAATGCAGAAATAATTCTGGACGGTAGTAATCTGATGGGATTTCAGTAATACAGGCCACAGATTTGCTTTGCAACAATTTTAGGCAAAGAAAATAAAATGAAGATATCACACAAAACATCTAGTGTGGTTTTTTTTTTTTAAGTACACTTACAGATCAAGTTACCCTTTTTAGGGTTATGCCTGCCTGTGGAAGAGTGTGAGATTTCATGGAAACTCCTGTCAGTGGAGAACATAGCTCCACTCATGCAGCAGCCAGCACTCACTGCTTGGCCGCTGAAGCTCCCAGGCTGCAGCAAAGGTCCCCTTCCCCAGGTCCCCACAGCCCCTGCACCCTGTCTTCCTGAGTCAGCCAAGGACAAGCCAAGCAGAGATGGCATCACCTCATTGCAACACCCAACGGTATCATGCAGACCAGGCTTCTGAAGGATCAGCTTTGCCTGACCTCTTAACTAGTAGTTCCTGCCAGCCAAAATTGAGCCCTGGAGTTATTTTTAGCCAGAACCCTTTATGAATTGCAGTTAACTTGTGATATTCAAACTAGTGACTAGTGCTAGAGGAATCCCTGTGGGTTTCATGGTTCCACTCCCTGCTCAAAAGTCCAATTATTCATTTTTCTTGGAGCTGCAATATTAATCTACAAAAGTTGTACAAGTGGCAAGAGATGTCATCCTCCCTCCATCCCCAGTTCAGATAACTTAAATAAAGGAAGATAAGCATTTAGCCCAGGGCTTATTAGCTATACAAAGTGCAGCTGTAAACCTTTAGAGGCTGACCCTCCTCCAGCGATGCTTTTGACAAGAAATTTGTCAGTACTTTCACCTCTGACTCAGGGCCAAACACACTGGTGCAGAGGTGGAATGGGGGAACTAGCCACAGAAAGTTATGGCTAAGTTACTATTTTATTTTAATTTTATTTTATTCTATCCAAATCACTTGCCTCAATACCTGTATGAGAAAATGCAGTAAAGTAAAAAGGGGGATTGAAGTAGCTGGAAGGGGTGACTGCTCTAAATCCTTTGGAAGGGAATGGAGATCTTTAAATGGATTTAGGCAGGCTTTGAATCAGACCTTATCACAGAAGGTAGCACCAAGACAGTTCAAAGCAGAAACTTCTCCACCTTTTTTTTTTAAATTTTTTTTTTTAATTTTCATACTATTCAGGCTTCCCCAGCTTTCCCCTGTGAATACAACAGGAATAAAGCACATAGATTGCATCAGCGATCACCATGTTAGACATCTTTGTTTCCAAGAAATTTAGTATTTGCTGAACATCTTTGCCCTGGGACACTGATTATATATTATTTTGTAAGTGGGTACCAGGAAGATTCATGCTTCCTCCCCAAAAGAGCTCTAACTGTACTTTCACTACTTCATGTCTATCAACAAATAAGGCAAGTTTGCTACTTCTGTGTTTGTCCCTAATGGATCTCTACCATTGTAAAATTACCCAATCTGGCTCAATTAAAGCCTATTTGTTGTTTCTGCTCTTTTGAACTCCACATGTGGAAGTGCAAGTCAGGGCAATGCATTTAACCAAAACCATTGAAAGGACTGTGTAGGATCCACACTGACACAGAGACTTCATCAGAGTGCACGGTTCTCTTTTGCCCACTGCAGCCTCCCTCTTCTCTCTGAGAAACAAAGAACCAAGTAAAAATATGAAACTGTCAGAATGGAAGATTATTTTAATTTCTGTTGCAAGTTGTTATGTAAAAAAACCTTCTGATAAAACAGCAAACCAACACCAAACAGCACTTCATCACAATATGATTACCAATTTATTAAACGAAGATTGCATAGACTGGGGAAATGAGTGTGACACATCCCCGGGGGTTTCTGGAGGTAGACCTCCAGCTGTTTCATTCTCACATGCACTCTGGTTTACAGGAACATGGAAAAATGTTTGCACTTCAGTTCAATGCAGCACAATTTTATATTGTTTGCAGGTTTTCTTTAAGGAGGGTAGAAGCATGCACAGCAAGCTGGAGATGTACACTTTGGGAGACAGGGCTACCCCCGTCCAGGGAGAGTGGGGGAAAACACATGGTGGTTGTTAATTTATATCCTGGACAATGCTGTAAATCGAAGCATCGCTGACAATTCCTGCCCAGTAAACATGCTCAATTTCATCTCCCGTAAAAAGGCGAGCAGGCACTAAATAGCAACACATTTTGATTTTCATTTAGCCACTTTAATGATAGGTGATGTTAGTGGAAAAGATCATTTATCTTCAGATTTATTTTATATGAGACAAAAGGCCTCGCCAATTTTTTAAAATTCATTTACACAAGTGAATAAATCATCCCAAACAATAAGTAGGAAAGTCATATTTCTTTAACTTTGCTAAAATCTGAAAATGCTGATCTTGGAGTGAAATAGACAGCACTGGCATTTTAATCAAGAACATAAAGACTCCTCTTCTAAACAAGAAGCACAGCTATACTTCAGGAAAAAAAAGATCTCTGATTCAGAGGACAGCCTTTTTTAATGCATTTTGTCAAAAATCTCTGATAAATCAGGAGAGTGCAATTTTTATGTCCCCTTCATTTTTAGATCAGTTCCAATGTGAAGGCTACCTAAAAATAGACAGAACCTAACCTTTCAAATATCTATACTGCTGCATACCATGAACGCAAGCTTTCAGTGCCTCTCATGGCTTTCAGGAGCCTTGTGCTGTGCCTGTCTTTTCCTCTAGCACATTATCCCATGTTGCCGACCGCACCCAGGCACGGGACAAGCTGCAAGTTGCAATGTGCGGTGCCCTGCAATATGTGGCACGTGTCCATCTGAGACAGACAAGCAGAAAGATCATGAAAACCAGCCTCCCCTTTTGGCAACTGGATTTTTGCCAGAAAAAGTACACTGACAACATTGAACCTAGTAAGTGGGGACGTGAAAATGAAGCTGTGCCGGCTGACCCTCAGAAAGCACCACAAGTGGTGCAGCACACCACTCTTAAAAATATGAAGGGGAACAATAAGCTCTTTTATTGTTTTCCACAGTGCTTGCAGACACAGTTCAACCCATCTAAAGAAGAGATTTTGCAACAGTGCACTGAACTGAGTGACTGGTGTAGAATTACAAGACAGCAGAATACTCGGTAACTATTTCTTTGCATTACACTTTCAAAACTGCGATTCTGTTTGGCCTTAATGGCATAGGTCAGATTCATCCCAAGCACAATCCCAGCAATTTCAGGTCAGTGGTACCTGAAAAATCAATAGCATTTAAGTTGATGAAGTTATAACAAGGGGGATTTTGGCCCAGGCTGTACAAATACTTACTTTTATTGTATATATACTTCACTTGGTATTATGCTGTATTTCATTTTTCTCTAATGCTAAACACTTTACTTAGCAGGTCCTAAAGCCACACGAGGAGCTGGAATAGGAGAAAGCTGTACTAAAATCCAGTTGTGGGGCTGCCCTGGAGGCTTTGAGTGACCATGACTTTTGCTTACACGAAATAGAAAATCACCCTTGTGCCAGTTGTTAGCTAGCTACTCCTAGCAGGAACGAGCTCGTAAGGACTTGCTTTTCTTTGTTTACTGTCATGCTCTGCTCTAATGGAGTCAGAAGTTTGTCAAGGCATTTTACTCTGTCAAAAAATGAATAAAATAACTTACACTGATAAAATAATGAAATAAAGCGGCATCAGACTAAATGAATTCCTTCAAAGAATTTTGGATGGAAAATGTCTTACCTGCTGACAGGAAGGCAAGAATAGCAAACAAAGGCATAGGAATAAAAGCTATTCAATAAAATATCGATTTCATTATCACCACCTATTCAACTTAATTTTCTTGGCATCCATATCCCTAACACAGGTTTGTGATAGATCGTACAATCACTTTTTAATTAAGCCCTACTGTGCCTTGTATTAAGAACAAGACAGTATACATTATGGCACAATATATCTACCAAAATATTTAATGCTCATCCTTTCCATTTTGGTATTTAAAAGTTGTTCTCTTAGGAGGTGGTATCAGTATTTAACAACATTTTTGACAGTAAGTATAAAAACAAAAAGCTTCATACTTAATCTAGCCATGTCAAAACTGAAACTCCTTAAAATAATTGCTTTCTGAATATATAGTATTTCTATTGCATTATTTTATTATTTCTCAGCTTTCAACATCTTAAGATGCAAAACTTGTTCCTTCTCCTACATACTGATGAGATGGGAAGTGGCACAAGGATAGAAAACTCACATTTGACCAGTTGAATGGTACATGAAACAGATGTTATCATGTTACAAGAGATATTTAATGAGAAGCTGTAAAAGACTAGCAGCTTTCTGGGTCGGTAGTATTTTTTGTTTCAGGTCTCTTTTGGTGTATTGCAGTTCTGCCACTTTGATGGGGCAGATCCTCTGTAAGAACAGCACTCATCTTCCACTGGGGTACTGGCACTTTCCAGAGGGCAATATTCACTTTAATTACTAAAATGTACCCACCTTCTTCCAAGTAAGAAAAAGCTGTTGTTGCATGTATAATATGGTTTTAGTTTTTAGTGCCAAAAATGAATCAGTAAACATATTTACATTATGGTATACTATTTCTTATTCTGTACCCATAGTAACCAAATTAATCTCAAGGTACTGCTAGCATTAATTCAATCTGAAGCTCATACTTGGGATTTCACATAGGTGCCTTCATCCTATTCTTCTTCTCAACTAATAAAATGTTAATATATGGCAATATATTTATTTCTGGTTCAGTTCAAGTTGAGGTGTGCAGTACTTTGCAGAAACCTAATTAATATGAATCATACATTAGAACACTCTGTTTAGTATACAAAAAAAAAAAAATGGTGCTAGCACATGAGGATGAAACAGAAGACCCAAGCATTCATTACGAGCTGTAACTTCTCTGTCTCTAGCATAGGGAAGGCCAATTTTCTTTACCCTTCAATTTCCATTAAAAAAAAATTCCCTAACATAGAATGTAGTTCTTCACTGAAGAACTACACTAAACAAATCACAAATTATTAAAAAAGAAAAAAAGGAGTAAGGAGATCTTGGAAGGTGAGATACTGACATCTCCCCCTGCAGCACCATGAACTTGGTGCACACCAGCAATGAACTAGTTCCCACAGTAATCTAGAAATACTGTCTTCAGCAACACCCACTGATACAAGTTTTCCCACTGGAACAGCCTTTAGCCAAAAATACCCATCTAGCTGATAGTGAAAACTATCTCCACACCCCAGGAATTGTGCCTGAACTGCTCAGGAGACATAAGCAGCTCAACAGCTGTGGTGTTGTCTAGATCTTCTCTAGACCTCAGCAACAAATCCAGTTCTTTTGTCAGAACTTAATTTGGGCAATCTGATACCTCAGGCATGCTACTATCCAAAATGTGCTCTTTTACTTAGGTTTTGCAGCAACAGTTCACATTTCTTGGAGTCTTTTTTACCTAGCTGTTCCCACTCCCATGGATTCCCAGGAGCACTAGTGTTCCCAACTATTTTGGTGTTTTCAAAATGCCCGTCTAAGAGAAATTACTGCACTAAATGGTGCCCAACTTGATCCAACCACTGACAGAGCAACAGGGCCAGATTCTGCCACCCTTATTCACCACGTACAGCAATCAGTCCCATCAAAAGGCTGAGCTGATGTGAAGAGCTCAGGCAATGCTTAAGGACGAGCAGAGGGAGTGTGGGTGAGCTGTGGCTCACCAGGTGAAGATCCCCACTTTGAAAAGAATGAATCACCATCGTGCCAGTGCTGCTCTCCATGGAAGGTCAGCCCCACGCCCACCACTGCAGGACACAGAAGAGCCTGTGGGTCTCTCCAACAGGCACATCACATCACTTAAGGCTGCATGAAGAAAAGCCCAAGCCCGGCCTTTGCAGAAAAACCTACCTCAAACAAACGTCCACAACACAGGACCGCATCAAACAGCTGGAGTTCAAAGAGCTCCCCTGGTCATTCAGGTTCTTGCCTTGGTAGCCGAGCAGCAAAACTCTCAGGGGGGCTCTGGTGTGCCCCTGGGCACTCCCACAGGGCTCCCACTGGCCTTGAGCCCTGCCTGCACACTGCATCCAAGGGCACAATACAGTCCTTCACTTTTACCAACTGCTACGGAGCAAGAATTCCTAGAACGGCTCAAACACATACCAGTTCAAATATGGGTACTTTCAGACTTCTTTTCTATTCCAAATTCTGTGCTTTGCCAGCTTCAAAAAAACAGATGGAAAATACGTCCCTAAATGTGCACCCTTGTGATCATTCCAAAAGGAAAGAAGCACCAAGTAGCTTAAAACGTTTGCTAGAAAAAATCTTTTCCATATCATGCAAATAGCAGACAAAAATAACTGCTAGGCAATTTATATACATACAAATATTGGTTATTTTAAACAGTAATTTGTTATTGAGGACATCTCACTGAAATATTATAATATTCAATTTCCTCTGCATTTGCATGGAAAAGGAGCTGGAGAGCACATGATCATTCATTTAACTATTACATAAATACGTCTATCATAAGATCACACGGATTTCAAGCCAGAGTTCAAATACATGTTTAATGCATGAGAGTATGATGAAGAAACTTGTGAACTCACAGGTCTCATAGCACAATCTCAATCAGATGCAAGCTTGGTGTAAATATGTACAGTATCGTGTGCTTTCCAATAGCACCATGTCTCCAGGCAGCAGTCTGACATCAGCAAAGGAGACAGGTGGTTCCCTTTCCAACCCCGGAGTGAGTTAAGACACTGTGTAAATATAGCAATATTTTTTCCTCAGTGTTTTGCTACAGTTTTCAACCCTTAATGAAACAGCAGTGCATGAACAATTCTCATAACATCTTTGCTACAAATCAGTGAGTGGATGTCATGTCCTAAGATATTTATAGCCTTAAAGGTAGTGGTAAGTGATACTGTTTGGCAGCATTGGTTTAGAAGTGCTGAAGTTATTTGCCTTTTGGTTTTGTAAGAAAGGAGCTCCAAAAAGCCACAAAAACCCAGTTTCCTTGCTCTAAATGTATCCCTTTCCTATAGCAGATCACTGTTACTAATAATGCCTGTAAGAATGACAAACAACAGTCAATCACAGGCACAGAGCAGGTCACAAATGCTTTTAGCTAGCTCAACTTTGTAAACTCCAACACTGTGAGATATGCTAAACCCTGCACAATCCACAGCAGTTTGATTTTGAACCTCACATTACAAGAGTTTACATATATGGTAACCTGCATATAGAATAACCAAATCTGGCCTTTTTTTCCCCTATCTGTACATAAATAGATACTTTTTTTTTTTTTTTATTTTACACAGTGACAGCCACTGCCTCTTAAACCATTTTCTTTTGTTGCATTTCCTTAGAAATACAAATCTTGTTCCTTGGCAGCAGTTGCTGTAAGTGCTGCACCACATGCCCAAACTAGTTCTCACTCACAGCTTTAATTCACAGTAAGTGGCACGAAAGGAGGTCACCACTTCTCAGAAACCACTTTCAGTTCTTTGCTGCTTCAGTATCTATTCTATAAAGCCATCCGCCCTAACAGAAAGAAAGTTGTTTCTTATATTGTGTCCCCTGCTTTTTTATTATTGTCATCTTTATGGAATGGGCTGCAGAATATATCTGATGGAATAAAAGAAGTTTATTCCTGAAACCACATTCCTTGTCTCCCTTTTGCAGGATTCTAAAAACAGAAGTAAAAAACAAAACAAAACAAAACAAAAAAAAAAAAAAAAAAAAAAAACCAAAAAAAAAAAAAAAACAAAAAAAAACAACCAAAAAACTTTCTGCTACAAAAACAAAATGGCCCTTTCTTTTTCCATGCAAAAAGACTTTAAATGAATGGCATCTTGCAACTCAGTGTCAATCACTGGGTCTGACTTTCAGTTCAATTTACTTGCTTACAGAATGATTATTTTTTTATCAATCCAACCAAGACATCATGGAGGTTGAAAATCAAACGGCCTTCTTTTTGCTATGATGCATCACTGGCAAGAGGAACAGCCTTGCTGACAATATTTTGCTGTCACATTTGCCTCTACAGCTTCACTGCTTTCTCTGTGATCAATGAAAACAGATTTTGACCTCATCTATTTCATTTCAGACCACATTCTGCCCTGAGGCACACGAGTACAACCTATCATAGTTATAGTGGCAATTGGGGCAGAATTTGTTCCTTTCCTGACAATTCAATATGTGATTCATGAACCAGAATTGAATCCAGTTCTCCTTTCCTAGAGCTCCTCTGGTTTTTGGCATCAGTAAAAAAAGCAGCAAAGATGAATTTATGTTGGTCATATCAGCAGAACTGGCTGGGTAGTCAATAATCTGACTGCTCAGCAAGATGCTACCTGACCAAAAGTTTGTTACTGTATTTTATTTACACATTTTATTCTACAGTCTGCTTGCTTGCTTGCTTCACTTCTCTCTCTGTTGTTTAACCAATGGGATCATAAGACTTGGAGAAACACCTAGTTTTGAACATTTCTGATTGGCTTAATAAAGCAAACCTAAAAAAAAAGATAATCCTCTCCACAACCATCACCTTAAAAAACACACCCCTGCCACTAGACGTGGAATACATGGTGTATTCACAGGATATGCAGTTTCAGGCCATAACCAGACGATCAAGTTTCTCATTAATCCCCAAGACAATGGACCACTTTTGAAACTACAGGC